TTTTTAATTATAGATAGATAGATATAGGTGGGTACGTATGAAAAAAACTCTAAACATTATAACTAACCAGTTGCTGATGGCATTATCCCAGGAAATATTGAGATAAGTTCTCTCTCATCAATTTCTAAGTCTAAGAAAAGGTCAAGAGCAATCTCTAGATCTGACCGAGAAAAATAGATACAAGCTGCCTGCTGCTTACATCTTCTCTTTAAAGGATCAATCTGACCACTCTGTCGGCCTGGGTGTCCAACTTTTTCGAGAAGAGAAAGAGCTTCGTCAACATGTTCATCAACCAGAAGTGCCTGGAATAACGAATGTCGTAAATTTCGAATGCAGCTAACATTTATAAATAACATAATGTGAGTAAATAAAGTTTTCTTACCTCCACTTGCTTCTCCCAAGGAACTGGTACCAGAGCATTCAGGCTCGTCTGGGAGCAAACATATATGTGGCCGTCATAGTTTCCAATAATTTGACCCCCTAGAAATGGTATAGCCTGTTTCTGCTGCTGGTCAACAATACAGCAAAAAAAAAAAAAAACAATAATAAATGAGTCAGATAAATAAAATTGTGAACTTAACCCAAACATAACTTCTATATGAGCATTTACTAAATGTATAGATTCAGATTACCTATGAACCATGATAATTTCATTACTTTCTCCCAGGATATATGGATGGTGAAAAGTGAGTGAAGTTAGTGGATAAGACCATTGCAGGGGTGGTCGATTTGATGTTCCTGCTGAGCAAACAAAAATCCCCAAGCCATCTGGTCCACTAAGCAGAAATTCTGCCTGCATATAGAAACAAACAAATGTTTAGAGATACTGTCCACTACATACATTGAGCATCTGAATAGCAAGAGCTCAGAATGCAAACAAACCAAAGATACAACTGAATCAAATTACCTTTGCAACTCTACACAGGTATGGAGTGAACCCATCTTTGTCAAATGGGAATAAATCTTGAACGTGCCCCTGATCACAGTCAAGAATTATGTCCTTGTCACGCAAAGCAGCACATATAATTCCACAATCTGCACTTAGGCATTTTACTGGCTCTTGTAAATTAAAAGAGTTGGTATGATTGATCTTGTCATCTGGAGTAACATTGTAAATAGCTACCTGCCCTTTGGATACTGGTGCAACACATATCTAAACAAAACAGAGGCATCCTCTAATTTGGTACACTTGACTTTGGTGAAACAATCAAGAAATTTTTCTGTATTTATTTCACCTGCACAAGAAAGGGATCACTACTTTTAGGGTTTTCGTTCACACAAAAGGTTTGAACACTCTTCAATCTTGATCCGATTGGCTCCAAGTCATTAATATTGAGAACGTGAAGAGTAGTATCAAAGAGAACTAATAACTTTTCCAAGGCAGAAGCGGCCTTTATTAACCGTACTGGCTTTTTCTGAAAAAGATTGGTAAAGAGAAAT